CATCTCTGGTCTTTCTAGCTCCAACAACTACAAGCGCGAGTTGACTGCAAGACAGAAACTATTGTCAGACTAGGAAAAGATTTGGAAGCAGTCCAAGAAGAAAATCGACTTATCAAAGCGAGATCGTTGACATTGGAGAGAAACCTAGAAAGGGTGGAACAAGAAGTTCATAAATATGCTGCTGTAAGATTTTTCTCTCTACTTTTTTTATTCAAAAGACTCTAAATTTTATTTCAAGAATGAGGTGGACATCAAAACCAGTTTCAAAATTGAAAAGCAGCAACTTACGGACGAGGTTGACAATCTCAGAAAAGAACTATTCGAAGCACTCAAGGAGAATGAGGAGTTGAAGGCGGAAAAGTTTGATTTACAGAAGGACTGTAAGCTATTTCGGCAGCGAATCGCTAAGTATGAGGTTGAGAAAATTGAAATATTATTTCAATCCTCTTTCAAATTGATTCTTTCTGTTCAGATAGCAAATCTTGAAGGTGCAACACCAGCCATAATTGATGATGGTTCTCATAGAAGATCCACAATGGACGGGGGAGAGGACGAGCTTGGCAAGTATGAGAAGCTCTACAAAGAGGTAATACTAAACATGATTACTTCAGTTATATTTTTTGAATTCGAAAATGTGTTTGTTACAGTTTAAACAGATCGAAACCGACCTGCACACAGTTCTTGGCATCAAAGAAGAGCTCATACTAGAGCGTGATGCTCTAATGAAAAAAGTTGAAAGACTTAGTACAGAAATGGCTTTTCTTCTAAATGGCGATCCACGCAGAGTAAGTGTTAAAAAATTTATTAATTTTTTTGATATAAGATTGGTCACGACTAAGATCCTAGTTTCGCATGCACAACTGCCACTAGTATCTCTTTGTTTTGCCATTTCCTACTTCTATTTCTTCTCTTTAAACATGCCGTTCATTAGACTTTGCCTGAAGGTCAACCTTTTTCCCCAAAATGTCCGTTTATCCTAACCAAGTTTTCTTAGGTAGCCGAAGATCTAGACAGTCTTGTTGCTGAGAATCGCTTCCTGAAAGCCCGCTTAGATTCAGCGAACGAGGAAAGCGAAACAATGAAGGCAACACTTTCCAAGTACAGAGCTATGACTGAAGCGCGACCATCTACGGTTAGTTTGACTCGCCTATCCTATTCTTTGCAGATTTAGATGCCTGATTTGCCAAAATCAGTTATTTCATATATAAATCTTATGTATAGATTGCAGGTCAATCGAGTAGTTAGTCAGGAATCATCTCTCGGAGAGAAAAGTAGCGTAGCTGTCGTAAATATGAAGCAAAGTAAGTTTCAAACCTTTGAAAAAACACAACCGCCATCTTTTTAAATGACATGCCAACAGGAAAAAACTTTCATTTATTTCCTCTTTTCACAAATGATAACATAAAACAATGCGATTTCAGTACGTGAATTACTGTCTTCCCATGCTATCAAACTCGATGACAATGATTACAAAGCAATAACTGCAATACTACTCGATTTGTGTAACGATAAGCAAATGGCCTTGACACATCTCAGAAGGGCGAACAAGTCAGTTTTTTTAAACTCTGCGGTTACGAAAGAGTATCGAAAATTGCATTCACATTTCAATAACGTTTGCAGAGTTCTCGGAAATCGTGTGAACGAAGTGGAAAGCCATTTAGCGGTTTTGGAGGCGAAATCAAGAAGTACAAGTCCTAACAAACAATCATTGGAGAACGGTTAAGATCAACAAACGTTAATTATCACATATCTTCTAATGCAGAATTTCTAAATTACAGTATAGTTATGTATTCACAACACAATTATTAACAACAAAACGATATCAAGATCTCGTATTAGAGCTTCGAACAATCCTACGCTCAGGACAAGGAGTTTCTAACAATATTGAATTTACCCTGGAAAAATGTCTATCACGAAAATTGCAAAAAGACGTTTTTTGCAAAAGCTTACCTTTTTCTCCTTTCGCAGGCTTTGTATTTGAACTCACATCGATTCCTATACATATTACCATGTTGGTCGCACACTGGCT